TCAAATTCTCAGAGGCATTGTTCTCATAGTTTTTCATTATTTTCTTTTCTTGCTTGATTACTCTGGAAAAGCTATGCATAGATACACTGAGCAAGATGTTTTATATATTTCTCTAGATGTGAAAAGCTATTTCTTTGCTTTACAGGAACTGCTTTATGCTTTGGCAGCTTTCCCAGGTTGAATATGCTAAAGCACATAGTTAATGAAGAAGATGAAAATGTCATCCAAAAGCCACTAAATAGCATAGTTCCAACCATTAAGTCAAGGTGTTCTATGTTCTCCTCTCAGAAAAGACCATAGCTTTGACCCAATGCTGAGATACTGGAGTCCATTTTCATAAAGAATCCCACCCGCAATCAAGGAAGTAAAACTAAGAGCTCATAATTAAAATCTGAAACAAAAGTCAGAAGGACTCAAGCCTATTTGGAAGATCTGTCTAAAAAAAATTCAATTCTTCTAAATCAGAGGATATTGTGTGGGTTGTGTGTTACTCATTATTTATTTGATGCTTTAATGGCATTTCTAGGTTACCTAAGGACTAAAGCCATGAAGCTTATACAACACAATCTAATAAATAATAAAGGAACAAAATTTAATAAAAGCAATAAATCAAGCAATAACTATTTATAGTTAGACAGTATTAAAATATTGCACAACTAAAGATGAAAATCAAGAACAATGCAACTGAACACAATCACAAAAAGGCCAAGGAAAACAGATGAATTTTCAGGACTTTTCTAAAATCCTTTAATGACAGAGCTTGATTGATCCCAGCTGGATGATCATTTTTATGGGCATCTGCAGGAAATTTTTCAGGAGAAAGCAAAGCTACACTGTATAATGCAACTGTTTTTTGCATCCAAAATATGATAATACACCTGCCTATTTTTTCCTTATATTTATGCACTGTTCCTAGTGTTACATTCCATAGAAGAAACATGCTACTAGTTTCAAAGCTGACTTGTATATATTTTGAAATATTTCCTTTTAAATGAATTTGATCATTTTATATGATATTTCAGGAAAAAGATTTTATATTTTAAAACAGGAACATAGAAAATCGAATTAAATCAGATTATTAGTTCATTATCTGTCCATGCCAATGGAGACTCTACCAGCTTTATTACAAGAATTTCTGCCCAGCTTGGAACAAGTTTAGTGTATTTGAAATAGTTATATCCTATTTGATACAATCTGCATAGCAAGCACTCTTGGGATGCTGTAAAGTCAAATTTAAAGAGGAACTCCATCAGGTCCCATTTGCTACTGTTCTTCCAGCCAGCATTATTCCAAATCAGTAACGGGATAAAATTCTTATGCTTAATATTGCTGGGAGAGGGTGATTGGGAAAATACTAACTGATGTTTTGGGGCTTGTTTTTAATTTTAGAAGTTTTGAGCTAAGGGTTTCTTCCTTGTCACTTAGTCCTACCCTACAATCAGCTCTGCTAGTAACTCACAAAGATTAGTCTTGCATCCTGTTTCCTCTTGTCTATTGGGCTCCATTTTGTTTCCATTTCTTACATTTTCCATGTGGTATAGTATTTTAACAGGAAACAGGCACTGTATGGTAGAAACTATTCCTGAGAACTTTTTGCTGTTCTTTTCTGTGTTTATATGCCATGTTAAAATAGGAAGTAACCAGCAGATGGTTTCTCAAGATAGGTACTAGTTTCTTGGGGTGACCATGTCTATTAAAGTCTTAGCAATTTTATGTGTTATTGTAATAATTTCTTCAGATCATCTAGCCTTTTTCGTAATCGCCACTTGTTCAGTATCTGGCAAGATACTGAGTTAATGAAGTTTGTCTCTAAGGGTTCTTCAGAACATTGACTTCTGTGGAAAGTATATATTGTTTGCTCAGCTATCTCTTCTCAAGGATAGTGGTGATAGAAAGTCCTTGAAGTTACCTATTATTATTTTGCTGAAATTAAATGTTAAAGTAAAAGCACTCTTATTGCCAGGATGAATTATTAATGAGCTAACCCCTTCTCTGTGTGAAACGCACGGAGTGAGAAGATTTCAAAGTTGCTTAAAATTGGTTTCATTTTGAACAACATGCTGGTCATAGTAGGATGTTAAAGGGTAGAAGGTTTGTTTAGAGTCTCTCCTGGACAGAAGCCATTCAACGTTCTGCAAATCAATCAATTGCCTTTCACAGTGTACAAGCTAACTGAGGGAGATAATGGTTGCACTTCTGAACCTCCATTTTCCTCTATTTACTCTGTTATTTTGAACGTGTAGAGTGATCTGATTTGGCTGTAAATAATAGTTATGGTGGAATTGCCTTTTGTCCAATATTTCCTGAGAGCATGATATTTGCTGGTATGTAGTTTTAGAATATAGTTTTAGATTTCTTAATTTATCCTCACTCTCTTTTTAGGTTCCAAAATAGGATCTACCTTTCCACCACTATTATGTGTTTTAAGACACAGTTGTTTCTGGATAAGCTTGATTTGACTGATTTAGCAGTAGTATTTATATGACTGTGTTTAAATTTAATAAGATACTCTTTTACAGTGTTCAGTTTGTTGTTAATTGTAGTTAAAAGCTCAAAATTGGCAATATTGTTTATGCTGTTAATAATAACTGTCAGGTTATAAAATAAGTAATGTTTTAAAAATCCTCATCACCTTGTTGTATAAGCCTTGCAGTTGGTGGACAAATGGCTTTGATTTGTGAAGGGGAAGCTTCCTCAAGCACTGAAGCAAGAAAGATATAAAAGTAAGGAGCTCTCAATCCCCACTTGTAGATTCCCTCCCAAGAGGTTATATCTATTACAGACATTAGTGGGAAGAGTGGAGCTGCCTGGTTACTTAGGGTAAGTAGATGTTTGCTTTTTAGATAACTGTCAATTTGGAACAGTTTTATAGGCTTGGGTGAAGTTTGAGAAACAGAATGTGAATGTTGCCTCTTCTTTTTTTTTCCTCCATGGCAAAAATGGTAAAAATACAGATCTCCAGAAAAATAGTAAATATACAGTTCTCCAACAGAACAAGAATGAAAATAAATAAAAATAAAAATAAAGTTGAATGGAATAGAATGAAAAAAAGCAAAAGTTAAAGTTAAAAGTTAAAAATATTAAAATTGGCTTTACTGTAGAGGCAGTTCTTAACAAGAAATGCTATGCCAAAGCCATTTTTATGGTCTTCTCCATGTATATACATAATTACAAGCATACTAACAGAGAGGTATTTAATGGATAAAGTTATAGTCAGGCAGTAGTAACTGATTCCTGAATTAAGAATAAAAGGCCATATTTTCACCTGATCTACAGAAATAATGTTGACTTCAACCTTCCAAGCAGTGTGCAAAAATATTAGAAGAGTCCAGATTATCTGAGATAGGACAATGAACTGATACGATAGTCAAAACTTGAACTGCTCTTGACAACACAGATTTGATATTAATATTTAACTTGTTTAGGATAACAAGCCTGGGGATTTTCAGTTCCATACATTCAAATTACTTCAGCTCAGGTTCAGAAAAATGTCAGCAGAGGGAAGAACATCAACAAAAAAAAATCTCAGTCCTGTTTGATTTTCAGATAATTATTACCAGTATTGCTGACTATTTAAAGGTATATAAGACAAGGAAGGTGAGATTCTTAAAGTTCAGAAATAGGCAACTATTTTTGTGGCCAGCAAGTGTATTAAAAAATCTCATCACACAAAAAATGTTAATTTGTTGCTGGGTTGTTATTCTGAGAAGAGGGAACAAAGATGGTGTTCGAGCTGCTTGTCTCACTGATTGTCTGCCCTGTTATTATATAGAAATCCTAAAGAGATGAATTTGGGAGACATTTACTTTAAAATTCATCCAAACATGTTTCATGAAATAAATCGGTAGGGAAGGATAGTTTATCCAAGTGCATGGTGACAGATATATAATAGATTATAACATTATGTGCTCAATATTTACTGTTCCACACAAATTATTCATGTAAGTGCCAATGTGTCCATGCTTGAATTAAGCTCTGTCATCAACTTTAGCTAATTCTGCTGGACATAGGAAGTATAGGAAATCATATTACCACTACTTTGATATTAACTCAAACAACAAGAAAGTTCACATAAATCACATAAAATATAAATACTTTGCATATTACTACATTGCAAGAGTAACTCATTGTATGGACCAAACATTTGCTCATTCTCCTCTTTTTTCCTAATATATAATTTATCATATTTTTTGATACTATATACTCTTGTTTGAAAAATTTTATGTACCAATTTACCGCTACTCCTTCTGGCTAAAGAGTAAACTGATTCCATGTATCATCAATAAACCCTTAAGTATCGTTGACACCAGAAGAGCTATTTGCGTAATCCTTTATGTTAGGTTTGCCAGGCTATTAGTTCAAAGTACAGAAAGTAACATCAATTTAGATGGAAGAAGAAGGAGCAGATAAGGAGGGAGACCCAGGCAACACAGTATTGAATAACTGGAGGTTGTATAAATATTTATAGAAGTATATACCGAGAAGGTTAGATAAATAGAAGTATTAATGTAAGAGAAAATTAATCTTATTGTATATAATACAGATAGGGAAATTTGGAGAGAGGAGTTGCTCGGACATTACCCCTGAATTGTATCTGAAGAGGGATGAGAGGGAAGAAAGGAGAGGCGAGAGAAAAGAGTAAAGGAGGAGAGAAGGAAGTAGGAAGATTGGAGGAGAAGAGGAGAAGTGGGGAGAAAGGGGAGGAGAGTGGTGAAGGAAAGAGAAGAGGAGAGGAAGAAGAGGGAAGTAGGGAAGAGAAGAAGGTAGAGAAGAAGGAGTGTGGATACAGTGAAAGGGGAAATGGGCGAGCAACACCAAAAGTCATGTGTATGTATTTATTTCATTTTATTAAAAGTATCTTATATATGAATGTAAAAAGAATGTATGTTAACATCTGATAAATATCACGGTATATGTATGGGGGAGAGTTTGGAAAAATAAAAAAATATTTTAAAAAAAAGATATCAAAGGAACTGAGGGACAGGATTTCTAAGCCTTACTTTTTCATCTTCACATTTTGTTCCAGCCAAGACAAGACCAGGATCAGGCATGTCATCCCCCAAGTAAACATGTGTTCCTCGGCACAGAATTTTGCCTCCTCCTTGTAGAGGGATATTTGTTTCTATTGAGACAGCATTGGTACCAATTACAGGTCGACTTGCTCCCCCTTGACATTGAATTTTTCCACACTTTGAATCTCTGAAAAGAGAGGAATAATCATCAGCATCTCTATTAGCACTGCTTTACTTATTTTTGTTTTGGACAGACGCACAGTATGTACCTGGGTTCACACTTGGCAAAAGTACTTTTAGAATCCTTGCCACAGTTTCCATATGGATCTCCTGCAGAATTGACTCTCTGAAAGCATATCTCAGGAGCAGGTTTAGCACCTAAAGCAGAGGCAAAAATATGTAATCCTTATGAAAAATGTAAGAAAGTAGAATCTTGGTAGGAAAGAGTGAAGAAAGAAAGTAGAAGAGGGAAATTCTTGGATTATACCTTTAAAACTCCCCCGCCTCCCATCTTTCCAAAAGGCAAACAGGCCTCTTTACCCACCTCTGTGAAATCATGAGATTATTAGAGTGCTCATGGCAGTTCCTTGGAGATAAAATAAAACTACACTGTAATAGGAATAGCCATTCACCCAGATAAAACTTACTATTTAATATAACTACTTACATTTTGGAATTATAATTATATTCATATTCTTAAGGGTGTGTGTGTGTGTGTGTGTGTGTGTGTGTGTGTGTGTCTGTGTGTCTGTCTGTCTGTCTGTCTGTCTATCCAAATGGCTGCAGCAAGAAATATTTTGTTCCAGCTTTTAGAATAGACGGTGATGGAATTTAAATTTCATACTCAATGATCAAGCCATGGTTTGATTAAACATGGTTTATTAAATGGATTACGATTTGCTGGGATCATACAACACATTATACCCAAACCATCAAACCATGTTATTCCTTAATATGATACCATCTGAGCTGTATTAAGTGATCACAATAAGGTTAGTGACATAACCTTATGCCTGGTTCTGATATAAATTGATAATGTATTTGCACTTTTTCTAGTAACAGGGAAAACGTGTGGCAAAAGCATAAAATTAGCACATAGAAAATTCTGTTTGTCACAATATAACCAAAATATTGGATGTGTATAGTTATTTTTTGGGTTACCAGCAGCCGTCTATTATGCTGAGACAATCTGGTGGTCTTCATAATTCCTATTCAGCCTGTTTATTTCTAACTAAATGGAAATCTATTTGTTTCCTCTATATTTTTTCTGTTCAGATAAGCTAAGCAAAACTAAACAGAAGGTAAGCAGACTGGATTTCCAATGATCAGATGTGTTCATATGACAATATTTTAAAGCCTATTAAAATATTTTCTCTTACAAAACATTTAAACAGTAAGAATAGTAATAATATTGATTAGCTAAATAAAAACTACAGGAAAAAATAAAGCAATTTGAATTATTTTTTAGCTTGTTTGAAGTGCTTTCTTGATTGCTGAATGAAAAATAAATGCATTTGAGTAGATTATGCAGCAGCTGTACTTTTTCTGATGAGACATGCTGAGGAGGAATAAAATGTGTGGATATATTTCTGGCCAATTCTTTTCATTCAGGCTTGAAAACTGTACCTACTGGAACACTGAATCATATAACTGCAATCTTTCTTTTTTTCTCTCTGTCTCACACTCTCTGCAATGGTTAAAAGAAGCCCATTAAATCTGTCTACTTCAGTATTCTGTTCCAAAAAACATATATCTAAATGTTTTTTGATGTCACAGAGCATGAAAGGATCATCTTGTGGTTTATCTCCAACAGCTGAAACCTACAAATATATGGTATCTTTATAGAATAGAAAGAATAACAGCGGTGGGAAAGTCTCTTATCTTGTACAGATGTAGATGATTTATTTATGTGAACATTAGTATCTTGTCTTTCTAGTGGTTATGCAGCAAATGGCTTCCATATACAAGTATAAATTTATTACTGAGACAAGAAATTGACAGGATTTAACTCTCAATGAGGAGAAAGAAAAGAAGCAAACTTTTGTTTTAGCTAAAGTTGGAAATTTTAGTTGATCAATTATAAAAAAGATCTAGCAATTTACCCCAGATATAGACGTTAACAACTGCTTTGAGGTCAACTCCACTCCTGCTGCCTATTTGGTCACAGGCATGTTGCTTTTTGAGCAATTAATGTGAAAATAGTTCTCCGCTGCCTTTTTCTGAGTTGCTGTTTGACTTAGCCTAGTCTATATCTCTCAACTCCCCTTGTTCTCCAGTCCAAAATCTTTCCACAATCGGGATGAAGAATTAGTTATAAAATAAAGGTCTAATTTTTAATATTCCATTTTCTGAGATTCCTGAGAGGATGGAACCTGGACTTTATATGTATTTCCAACACTGGGTTTTCAGAATACTGCCCCATGTTTCTTGCTGGAATTTTCTTCAAAATAATGTACCCAAATCAGAATTTTGGAAGCATTCAAGAAGGTCAAGTGACTTTTAGAATATTCAGATCCCTAGAGAATTATTATTCAAGCCTCAAGAATTGCCATCTATTGGGACCAAAGAAGCATATATTTACATTCTCTGTCATGATGCCAGACTGCTGGTATAAGATTCCTCCTGAAATCTAGGTGGCTCCCATCTGGAAGCTATTCCAGAGGGATTTGAAGACCTGATTCTTCTCTCATGCTTTGAGCTAGAATGCTAGGAGCCCATTGCTGAGTGTATATGTTTGTTATTATTTATAAGATCTGTATTTTGCTACTATTAGGTGCATTTTTGTTTAAAAATATGTTTTGTTTTGTTTTATGCTATGAGCCACTGAGTGCCAATTGAAGCAAAGTGGTATTGAGGTCAAATAAAATAAATCAATAAATTATATTCCTGTGTTGCTTAATTCTTTCATTGTCAATCTCAACACAAGTTTATAATAGCTGAAAGGCCTTATTCCCATTCTTCAATCACTTGGTATTAGCATATTTTATGGTGTTACTTTTATAGAAAATATGTCTGTATTCTCCTTCTCTTTTTAGTTCATCCTATTTAAACCTTTCCAACAAGAGCTGGTTCTGATAAAGGAAAAGAGGAAGATTCCTTGCATTTGGAGTAAAGATTCATCTTTCTCCTGGACAATCTCTATTGATATATCTCTATCTCATTTGATATCTGTTCCCTAGTTCTATGGCTAGCCAGGAGTCATCAGTGCTTGCTCAGGCCTCCAACTAATAGGCATTTAGCAAGTAAGAATATACAAAAATAGTGCACTGGTGAAAAAAACCTGTTTTTATGTGCATGTAAACACACACATACACACATACACACTGTTAGTCCCCTTACAACAGTTCATTTAGGCCCTGAAAAAAGTGACTTACGACCATTTTTCAAACTTACAACCACTGCAGCATCCTCATGGCCACGTGATCAAAATTCAGATGCTTGGCAACTGACTCATATTTATGACGGTTGCAGTGTCCCAGGTCATGTGATTATTTTTTGTGATCTTCTGACAAACAAAGTCAATGGGGAAGCCAGATTCATTTAAGAACCATGTTACTAACTTAACAACAGTGGTGATTCACTTAAAAATTGTGGCATTTATATAGATTTATAAATATAAAATATGTGATCATTTGTTGTGTACCACCCAGAATCACCTTCAGTGAGATAGGTGGCTATATAAATTTGATCAATCAATCATTTGATATCTAGTAACATTTATGTCATTCTTTTTTGTATGGGCCTTCTAAAACTGCCTAAACTAACTTTATAAGTTTCATGGGAAAAAGTCTTACCGTTGTAAGAGATTTTTGGGATGGGATGGGATATAAATCAAAATAATAAATACAAACAAATAATAGTTTTTCTTTTCTTTTTTTACAGAAGAGAGAACTTGGCTTGTAAAAAAGTTTTCCCACCATCTCTTTCAAATGGCATTTAGGTTTCAGTAACACAATAATTTGTTATTAGCTTTGTGTCCCTGCAACCCATATGCCAAGTCTCTTATAATACCACAATGTTATTATCGTTCAACTTGATTCATATAAAAGTAAAAAGAATTGATGATCCTTGTACAGCCTTTCCCAGCTTGGCAACATCCAGATGTGAATGAACTATAATTCTCAGTAGCCAGAATGCCATTTCTGATTAACATATTGGAGAGTGTCAAGTTAGGGAAAGCTGAAATAGTAGTTTAAAAGAAAAGCACAAACTAAGAAACCTTCAGAAAGATACTTGAGGAAACCAACTGTGATGTGTTTCTTGAGGAAACCCATTTATCATAATTCTACCAGATAAACTGAAGCAGAAAGTCTTGTCTCTCTCTATTTTGCTACTTAAAGAGGCAAAGTGAAAATGATTTGTGAAAGATTTCTAGCAGATTTTAAACTTGCTGAAACCGAATGAATGCTTATCTTACTTCCTATCAGCCATCAGAACTTGACACTCCAATTGTTAAGATTTGTCACACTTTTTAACTGAAATCTCCTACCACCCATTTCTAAGTTGGTATAGAATAACAATTTTCACAGTGGTTCACACACCACTCTAAATTTATTTAATTATGGTTGGATAATTAAATAGACTACAATGACAAATCACTTTGGATCCTATAATACACAAAGTCAAATTAAACTCTATTGTACTCCATATATGAACCTTGGTTCTCACTCATATTTGTTCTCATATTAAATGCAGAGACTATTTGTCCTCATTTACATTTTACACCAGAACACAAAGATGTTATGGATCGGTATGGACTAAGAAATATAGTTTTCCGAAACATTATTTAGTTCTTATATTTCTAGATTTCTTGCTATTTTTGTTCTTTTTCACTGTATCTTAACAGTACTTCATGTGGATCTACTAATGTGTGCATATCTATGTATACATATATATTTGTGTATGTGTATTTATATAGTCTGAGTGAATAAATAGCACCAATTTTTGTTGTTTGACATTTCTTTCATGAACATATCCAGAAAAGCTTCAGTTTTGACTTGTCTATCTATACAACTTTCCTCTAGAATAGTGGTTCTCAACCTGTGGGTTGGGACCCCATTTGGGGTCGAACGACCATTTCATGGGGGTCGCCAAACAACGCAGTCCGCCATTTTTCCCCCCTTTTCCTTAGCTGTGCTACTCCCTTTTATTCTATTGGCTTTTGAAAGCCAATAGAATAGACTCTCTTGAATAGAGTCTAATTCTATTGGCTTTCAAAAGCCAATAGGAATTGTCCAGGCTGTCTCTGCCCTGCTGAGCCCGCCAAAAGTCCCATTCTGCAAATGGTGCTGCACCAGTTGAGTAGTCCTCAACTTACGACTGGTTGAGTAGTCCTCGACTTACGACCGGTTGGGGGTTGCGGCATTAAAAAGGTTGAG